GGGGGGCTATGAGAGAGGAGGACAACTATGATTAAGCATCTTCACGCTGCAACAGAAAAAGCTAAACCAACAAAACACTTCCTACACTCTGCAAATAGATTTTTCTTGTAGAAAAAAAAAATTCACAATGCCTTTTGATTTCTTTTCAAAAGTAAAATTGCATTGCAGTTGACACCAAATGAAAACATGGCTCACTCATATCATATTTATATAAATTCAAACTGATGAATAATGTCCTAATGAACAAGAACTACAGCAGAGAACCACGCTGGCCTGATGCACACTTTGAAATGCGAGTAGAATTGACAGGCCTGATAAGATAGATTTGTTTCTTAATTAAGGTTACTGTGACACAGGCAGCCTGTACGGTGAACTTGAGAGGAGTCAGCTCTCCAGATTAGAAAAACAATGAGGTAATGTCTCTGATGTCAAGGGACTTTGAAGCTGACATTTTGGCCGTCTTTGTCACTCGGATCAGCCTGAACATCCAAATGGGCAAAGAGGAGTCGCCTGAGAGGAGCTGAGCTGGCAGCTACCACGACTGTCTGTGATTGGCTGAGATACCCCTCAATCAAGGCCATTGCGTCCCCCAAACGTAGTTCACTTTAAGCCTTTTTTAATACATCTTTTTTATTTCCTTATAATAAACCGTTTTTAAAATAATGACACAAATCCAATGTGAAATTCCCTTGTGAGGCTTAAAACTCTTGTGGAAAAATGTACCAACTTTAAAATGGCTACTAAATGACGTCTGGCCCCTTGACTTCAATACAGTCTGAAAGTGCATTTCCATCCACCTGTATGCGCATTTTCATTTTGTGCATACAAAAGTAAATGCCTAAATTTGCCAAAAAAGAAAAGTTTAAATATTGCAATTAAGTGTTTACGCTCGCGAGCTGAGGTGGAAGAGTTATTGTGTCGATAAAAAGAAACAGTAATGGAAACAGACTTGGCAGATAAATCCCGACGTACGGTGCAGCGTTTGAGCGACCGCCGAGCCTTCCGCTCCACCGCGCGGATGAAAAATGGCGGAAGATGAAAAACATCAGATCTGAGCGATGAGGAGACTGTAACCTTCCTCACATTAATACATGAACATAAATATTTGCGTCACGTCTATTCACTTTGTTTTCATACGTTTTCAGTTTGGCGCTTCTCTGATTACGTCAGCGCATTCTGTCCTCTTTGTCTGCGATGGTTTAATGGCACCCGACTGAAATTTGATGCTAGTTTTGAATGGAAACTTCGCTGAGTTTTCTTAAGGTCTTCCCCCTTGTGGCCGTTAGATGAACTGCAGCGTAAGATGCGTCTCACTCAGACCAAGCTGTTTGGCACTGATGCTAATAAGCAGGCATGAAAGATTTTTCAACATTGAATGCAAACGTTTGGAAAAACTGCAGATTTTCTGGAGCGCTCTGTAACCGCGTCGTTACAGCACGTTCGCTTCCAGGCTTGGGCCCTTTGTTGCATATCCTAACCGTCTTTCTGTCCCCCATTTCCCCCACTGTCATATATATTATTATTATGGATTACGGGCAAAGTTAATATTAAAAAGGAATGCATGCAATTTGTAGACAGAAATAAAATAAATAAACAAATGGATACGTAATAGTTTTAAACGTGTTGTAAATCCAAACAAAAATGCAACCAAATGACTTGGTTTAAGTGTAGTAAGACGTCATGGTTTGGCTTAAAATAAGGATGTTTGTTACGTAAATCAAAATAAATCAATGTTGACTTTTAGGATATTTAGGAGACCAGGACTGCCCCATACAATGCCACTGAAAGTTGATAGTGGACATAAATTACGCAGTGAGAAATTGTCCATCTTTAAATGTTCTTACTAGAGATACTGGGCCAACACCGCTAGCTTATAACAACACAGCATCTATTTCACTAAGTAGCTTTATATACGGTACGTATATATTTATATATCTATTAACAACCACAACGCATTGTTGCTTTAGAGAAGTCCATATGAACTGGGAGTGTGGAAGCAAACTGGATTACACACTCACACTAAACAAAGAATCACATTATTGTTTTCTGACCTTTCTGTCTCTCAGTGCCTGAGTCGATATCTTCCTCTCATACATGCTTTGTGTGTGTGCGAGTGTGTGTGTGTGTGATGTCCTTGAGCAATGCCACTGCTTCTGATCTCCTATTTAAGCTTATCTCTCTCTGATTGATTCTCCCGGTTTTGCCAGCTGTCTTGCGGCCATGGCAACCACCAAACACGTGCACACACACACACACACACACACACACACACACACAGAACAGACGCTGGAAGGCTGCCACTGGTGGACGCAAACACACAGACTGCCTGAAGTCGAATTCGCCCCCCCTCCATCTTAACGGAAGTGTCCACTCTGCTCTTTTCTTCCCATCATGCTCTTCCCCTGGAGCCAATTACAGCTGTGACATGTCTCAATTTGTTTTAGACATTGGCTCGCCATTATGTCAGAGTAAGCAGGGCAGGTACGGATAGAAAAAAGTGTGTGATGTTGTCTACCTATTACAGTCATTGTGTGTGTTCGGGGTGTGTGTGTGTGTGTGTGTGTG